GGGGGGGGCCCATCCCACCTGCCCCTCCGCACACCTCTCCGGCACGGCTTGCTTCCCGCCGGTCGCATCGCTGTCGCAAGCCCCGGGAGCCCGCGAGGAGGCCTGTGGGCTCGCATCGCTGTCGCAAGCCCCGGGAGCCCGCGAGGAGGCCTGTGGGCAGCCCTGCTTTGCGGACTTCGAACCAGGCCTGTCGGCTGCCCCTCGGCCCCCAGGCACGCGGGGCTGGAGGGAGCCGGGGGCCGTGGTGGGTCCCCCTGCTGTCCCAGGCCTGGAGCCCCAAAACAGGCAGGCTGTGGAGAGAGGGCATGCCTGTGGTGGAGGGCACGTGTGAATTTAGCCGGGACGTCATGCCAAGACCGACCGAGACGGGGTGTGGCAACCCCACTGCCGGCTGGCGACACACGCAGTCAGGTGCGCCAGAGGGCTGGTGTGGCCAGCTGGGGGCAGGATCCGGGAGCGGAGAGGGTCCCTCCGGGCCCCTTCCAGGGCTATGCTGGGGGCCAGGGGTGTGGCAGCAGCTAGAGGCTGGCAGTGTGCCGTTCCCGTGGGCAAGCCCGCACGGTGGTCATGGTGGATGTCTTCCACCACGCCAAATCCTTTTCGGAGCTGCCCAGAGCTGGCCACATCCATGGCCCCCCTTGTGGCCGTGAGTGCCGTGACCCGGCCTTGGATGTGCTACGCAACCACTTCCAGCGGGAACGTGGGAGCATCAGTCCAGCCCCGAGCTATAAGTTGGCTCGGAAGCTGGGTGTGCCAGGGCCCCCCATAACCCAGTGGGAGACCACTGTGCTACCTCGTAGGGTTGTTGTGAGAGCAGGCACTCCCCCGGCACTGCCAAACACCTGGCAGGAGTGTCAATTTTGTCGACAGGTGGAGGGGAGTGTGTGAGCAGGTGCACACTCTGTTCAAAGAACTGCGAGTTGAGTGGAATGTCGGTAAATTCTACTTCCTGGGTGAGGCCTGTGCATTTCTCACTCAGACACAGTTGATGGCATCCCATATTTCCTCCTTTATTCCACTTCTCTCCTGCCCCAAAGCCAAAACTCTCTGGCAGTTCCCAACACTTGGAACTATAAAACACAACAGGATACAATGGAATAAAGAAGTTTAAAACCAGGGTATAAAATTGAAATCACAATCCTGCATAGCTGCAGCAAAAAGATTTGAAATCCAGCCTTGGATTTCAAACAACAGAAACAGAAGGACTCAAATGCTTAGTAAAATACGGACTTCCCCCTTCTGCAGAAACAGCAAAACATTTGAGAGCCAGTGCGGCTGAGTGGTGAAGAGTGCAGGGCTGGGACTTGGGCGGTCCAGGTTCTAGTCCCCACTCAGCCATAGAAACAGAGCGAGCCAGAAGGGGTCTCCCGGGCCATCTAGTCTGACCCCCAGCTCAGGCTGTCTCCACTCATGACATGCCCACCATGTGCATGTCCAGCCTGTCCTTGAACACCCGCACCAATGGGGCTTCAACCACCTTCCGTGGAAGCCCATTCCATACCCTGGGGGTTCTAACCATCAGGAAGTACTCCCTGGCACCCACCCTGAATCTTGGTTCCCTGAGCTTGGCTCCATTGGAACACATCCTGCCTTCCACTGCAGGGGGAAAAAGGTCATGACCCACCTCTGCGTGGCGCCCCCCAACATACCTGCATGTTGCTAACAGGTCCCCTCTGAGTCCCCTCCTCTCCAGACTGAAGAGACCCACCTTTCCCAGTCCCTCCTCATATGGCATCCCTGCAAATCAGTCACCATCCTAGTGATTTTGGCTCAGTCACAGACGCACAGCCCATTCTGCCTCGCAGGGTTGTTGTGGGGTGAGATTGAGAGCAGGGGAGGAAAATGATGCAAGTCACTTTGAGTTCTTCAGAAAAAAGAAAAAAAGAAAAAGGCAGGATATACTCTAATAAACAAACAAATAGCCAAGCATAGTAGGCACCAGGCGAGCCCCCCGGGAAGCTCGTTGCACAATCGGGAGCCGTGGGAGAAAAGGCCCTCCTCTCAGCAGCCGTGCCTCTCGCCTCCGGTGGGGCTCCCGGGAAGGCTGGCTGAAGAGCAGCTTGGCGTCCGTGCGCCTGGATCTGACGACGGGCGCCAGCCTGCAAAAGGGCAGCTCCTCAGCCCACCCCCTGGGTTGCGGGGGCTTCGTGCGGATGCTGAGTGGCACGGGCAGAGCAAGGATGCGGCAGCTCTGCCTTCGGGAATCGTGGGCTGGGACACCGCCGTTCTCCCCGTGGTCTCCCACGGCAAGCCCCCCGCCTGCCTTAATGGGTGAGGGATGGGCATCGGGTGCAGCCCGCGCCTCGATCGATCGGAGCACTCGCAGGGCTTGGTGTTCACTCCCAGATTTGGGGAGGGTGGAAAATTCCTCCCGCCCGAGCGAGCGAGCTGCGCATGAAAAAATAATAAAGCTGCCTGCAAAAGCAGCTGTAACCAAAGGCACAGATCAAAGGCCGTTTCCCTGCCCGAGGAGGCTTCCTGGAGAGCGGCTGATAAGCCTTTGTAGCAGCTTGTTTTCAGCCCAGTTCCTCAAGGAGGGAAGAGCCCAGATGCTCAGCCGCGATTTTGCAGACTCCCAGATAAATGGGAAAGAGGAGCAGGCGGGGAGGAAACAGGCCAGCACTGCAGTCCCGGTCTTCAAATGGCAGGCTTCTGAGGACGGCTCTCAAGTTTTGGGCAGCGTTGGCCACATCTGGGTTTTCTTAATCCACTTTTTAGAGAGTCAAGAGAAGGGCTTGTTTTTCTTTAAGTCAGAGTGGACCTTCTGGTCAAGAGAGCCCTTCTCTAATCAGCCATCAGAATCATGAGGGCTAGAAGCTTCTGCTTTTAATTAAATGACAGGAGGAGGAGGCTGCCTGGCCGCAGCAACTGAAGATCTCTGCATTTCAGGGGCCAAAGGGGTCCTCAGGTCTTCTTCCTTCCGAGTTCGGATCCTTGGCAATGTATTTCCAGATTCTGGTTGCTGGTCGAAGCAGCAGAGGCGGGTGCGGGGCCCGCGACTTCTGTGGGTGGCTGGACGGGGAGGGCCTTGGACCCTTGCTCAGGGCCAGCAAACTCCATGCATCTTTCTAGCCCTGCAATATTCTGCACCCGGGACATGCATGGATTGCAGCACAAAGGCCTCCATTGATTTGGCTTATATATATTTTAGCAGCGAGCTGGTGCTGCAGGCAAAAGGCGGCCCTGAAAGGCTAGAGGCGGGGGATGGATTTCAGGTGCTTGCAACCACCTCCTGCAAAAGCGCGCTGGCCGAATACTATGGCTGTGGGAAGGGGAGAGGCTTGGAGGTGGTGCTGTCCTGCCCTCGCTTCCACCTGCCGCCCCGGGGATCCGGGCGCCCGGCACGGCTGCATGTCCCCTGGAGTGCCGTTGGGCTAGAGTCTCCCTCCGGCCGTCTTGCTCTTCTTTGGTCTAACCCGCCTCATGATCTTGCTGTGAAGGTACAATGGGGCAGGGGGGTGAAGGAAGGGCTGAGGATCCCACCCGGAGAGTGCATTCCTTCTCCCCATCAGCTGACCCCCAGAGGTAGGCTGCTCCTGGACATGGAGGTTCTCTGGGTGGTTCACAGGTGTGCATGCAATATTAAAAGCGGAATGCAGTAAAATAACGTTCTGGCATACAATACTGAGAACAGCTCAAAAAAATTAAATGATCTTAAAAAGTAAGTACCACTGTTCGGACAACTAACTTGCCCTCTGCCGTGTCACTCAGTGCCCGAGAGAAGGGGGCAGTCAGGACCCGGTGCTAAAAGGGTGACACAGTTCGTGTTAGGTGGGCTTCAGTGGGAGAACAGTCCCAGTGCTGCGGGGACGCCGCCAAGAAGGCCCTCCTCCTCATTGCCGCCCTGTGAGCCTTCCCTGGAAGGCTTCCCTCCCCCGGGAGCTTCCGGGTTGCCTCCATGCGAGGGGCCCCAGTGCAGAACGGAGTCTCCGGCCAGGAGGTCCGTTCCACCAGGTTCGGGGGTCCCCGGCTGTGGGTTTCCATTTATCGAGTGGCTTCAGGGAGATCCAGCTGGGCTTCTGTGACTGCGGGGTTGCAGTGGGCCAGCTTTCCCAGAACTGCTGATTTGACAGACTTGCAGACTGGTTGTTCACCTTGTGAAACGGATTTATTTCTTTACTTAGATGTATATCCCACTTGTTTTAAGAACTCAAGGCAGCTCACACCAGTCTCCTCCTCCTGCTCTCAATCTTTTTCCCGCAACAAGAACCCTGCGCAGTAGGCCGGGCTGTACAGTTCATGCCTTTCCCGTATCATGCATGAACTGGCCAAATCCCCTCTTTGAGCCAATATCATGTGGCAGGAAGTTCCATGACTGAACAGTATCTAATGACGTGTGGTAAGGAAGGGAGCCAAATCCATTCGATTCATCTTTTGGCATGACCTGACCTAACTCTTGCTTTCCAACATAATACTATCAACTGGGTGGGGTAAAAGTATTCCAGTTTTGCCCTTCTCCAGCTTTTGTAGTTCAGTTCTTTGGCTATTTTTAAGCATGTACATTAGAGAAAATTGCGTGTGAAAAGTCGTATATTAGGAGAAAGTGCTCGCAACCTGGCCACATCCTTCAGGGAAATATTTCATACAAAAATGCATACATTCACGGAAATGGCCTACGGAAAGCATATATATGGGGTAAGTGCTTGGGAAAAACGAATATATTACAGGAAATGGCAGACCAAAATGCATTTGAATTGTCATGTGCCTGGAAAGGCCCATGAATTACCATGCAGACTTGAGGAGGAAAAATGCGTGCATTAAGGAGTGATGCGGGCAGGGTTGCCCGGCCCCCTCGGGGGCTTTCCTGCTGCGCTCGGAGGCAGGAGCCGCCTGCGTCCCGTGCGTGCGGGGGCCCACCGCCGCCAGTGGCCCTTGTGCTGGGCGTCCCGGCAGCCCGTGTTTGCTCTCGTGTAGCCTGCGTGGTACCACTGTGCGTGTGCGCTGCTGGTTTAACCTGAAGCCGCGGTTCAGAGTCAGCCCGTTCTTCCCAGCCACTAACTCCCTGGCCATTCCCCGTCCTTCCTGCAGTTCTCCCCACACCTGCTCTGACAGGCCGAGGCGCCTCCTCTGAGCAACTAGCCGCAAGAGGCCGGAATCGTCCCCGAAACAAACACATGTTGGGTATAAAATGGACAACAGAAGCCTTCCCCCCCCCCCTCGCACGCACACAGACGCACCTTGCACCTTCCTGCAGCAGTACCAGCCCCGCAGTCATTGGGGTGTTCTCCTTGGATGGCATCCTGTCCTGGGAGCCCCTGGCTGGGAATCTTGCTGGGGTGCAGGTGTGCTTCAGTGGGGACAGATTCCGACTTTTATCCTCAGTGCAAGCCAGTGGCTTCCCGTCAGGTCAGTGGGGCAGTGTATCCACTCTGGGTTTTAGTCTGAACTGCCGAGGAGCTAAGCCACGGTGCCTTTTGATACTGCAGCCCCGAGCTGCAAAGGGCTTTCACGCTTAACACCAGCACCTGGCACTGCGCTAAAGGCGGATACGCCAAACCTGTCCAGGCATTGGGGCATCCTGAACCAAGACGTACACGTGTGTTTGGGGTCATTCTCCTTCCACAAGCCGCCATCTTATGTATCCCACAATCGTGGTGCTGTAGTGTGTTTTAAATAGGAAATATTAGAAGTGTGAAGAAAGAAGCATATGGTTAGGGCAAAATGTTTAGCAAGGTATTCTTATTACTAATCAGAACTCATACTTCTGGTCACATGGGGTGTTTCTCTGAGCGCCCTTAGGAAGCTGATGAACTGCGGTGACCCTGTGACAACCTGCTGTGACATCCAGGGCGCTAACGAGCACTGACCTAGAGCCATGTTCTTTGGGGAAAGTAATGGTTCAGTTTTACATGTTGCTTGTATTTGGGGCATAAAAACTTCACCATGGCAAGGTCTATAGATTTGGGGATAGTTTTGCTAGTTTCCGGATAGAATAGGGTCAGAGGAAAGGACTCTGGACCTTGGGGGATATCTTGGCGCCCATTCATGTCGTGGGAGAACTTAATGTGGGTCCATTTCCACGCAATTTGTACTTGGGTAAGTCAATCGACCTGCTCCGTTCTAGGAGGGTCTCAGCAGGCACATTTTTAGCTTCCCCCAGTAGCGCCAGAGGTGGGAATGGCATCCGGGTTTCTTCGAACCTGCAGCAGCCGGTTTCTGTCCTCCTCATTCTGGGAAAGCCAAGATGGCTCTGTGATGCGTTTGCACGTTTGCACGGACTCCTCGCTCGTGGCTGGTCTCCTGCTCCCTCACCCCTCTGGTCGTAGCGTTTGCCACGAGCGCGTTTCGCAGTGCCTTTTGCACGCGCTCAGCTCAGCACCGGTGCCCGGAAGGGCGGCTCGTGTGCCTCTCGAGCAAATGAGCGTGGGGCAGCCCGCCCTTCTGCGCATGGGTGCGCGTCGTCTGGAGCGCCTGAGGGCCTCCTGGCGGGCTGCGGGGTTTTCCCCTCGCGTGCTGTGGATCCAGGCGGTGGCCCCGGCTTCGCCCGAGTGCTGCAGGGATGGAGCGCAGCCTTCGGCCGGGTGCCCCAGAAGCACGTGGTGCTGAGGGCCGAACAAGCTACGAGAACCGGGAATGTGGCCTCGGCATCCTGTCCGGCTTCCAGATGCATTCTGGGAGACGTAGTCCAGCACCACTGGAGTTGTGGGCACCAGCTCGGCTGATGTATGAAATGTCAGTGCCAGACTGGCTGGCAGTGATGGGGGTTGTAGTCCCAGGTACTTGGAGCTTGGGAAGGGCTGTGTGAGGCCTGGGGTGCTGTGCCTCGAGCCCTGGTTTCCAAGCTTGGCCTCGGCCCCTTTCCCCTCAGCCTTGGTAGCTTCCTGGCTCTTACACGGTTTTCATCTCATTCTAAAAGGTTGAACCTCCCGGTGTCTCATTACCTAAAGGCATTAAGTGAGGCGTGTTGGTATTTTGCGGGGCTGCGCTGCACCCTGCCCCGTTTCGTCTCTTCGGCCCCCAGCCCACCAGTAGCCTCCAAAATGGGATTCAGCCCCGAGGGAGGAAAGTCTCCCGACCCCCTTTCAGAGAAATTGATTGCCCGCGATGTTCAGTAGGGTGGGAACGCCTTGGCATTTCCCATTTAGATAGGCCAGGTTTATAATTATCTCTTGAGGACCAGCTTTGATCTTCTGCACGCGCACAGAAACGAGGGTCTCGGAGGATCTCGCCTTCGCTGGCCAAAGGTGTGCCCGGCCCTGTTTGACAGTCCGGATGTGAGCGAAATGGGCGCCCCCCTGGTGCACCCCTTGCCCAGACCGCAATGCCAGTTCCTGATTGGGAGGACTCTCCCTGTTGTGAAATCTGCTGCAGTTGCGCCTGGCAGGAAGGCGGCTCAGATTAGGGGACTGGGGCAGAGTCGGGGAGCTGCGCCACCCCCACAGCCCCTCGCGGCCTGTTTCGGGCAGTCCTGCCTTTTTCCGCAGGGTGCACAGGGCTGTGAACAGGATCGGGCAAGGGGCGATGCAGAACCCAGAGGTCCTGAGCACCAAACTGTGGCTTGCTCTCCCGACCCCAAAAGAGCTGCCGGGCGCTTCTTCCCGTCCTTTCCTTGGCCGGGGCTGACTCCCGTCTTTCTCCCCCCGGCAGGGATGAGGGCTCCCCCTTCGAGATCATGCAGCTGGACTTCGAAATGGAGAACTTCACCAGCCAGTCGGTGACGCGGCGCATCATGTGGCACGTCGATTACCGCGGCCGCAACCCGCCGCCTGACCTGGAGAAGGCGGTGACGGAGCTGGCGGTGATCCAGAGGGACATCCGCGCCATTCTTCCCCTGGCCATGGTGAGCGTGTGCTGGCGTGAGTGCTGGCGTGGCGGTCCCTCCTGGCCCTTCCCTTCTCTCGCCTGGGACCAGAGGCGCACATTTCACAAAGCCTGACCCAGCTGGTGCCCTCCAGAACAGGTGGGCTACAGCCCCCCCCCCCCCCCCAGCGTGCTGCGCTGGCTGGGAGATTCTGGGAGTTGAGGGCTTCTGGAGGGCACCGGGCTGAAGAACATCTCTTGCTCTTCTAGCTGGCGTGAAAAATGCATCCCACTGAGTATTTTTTTTCTATTGACTGGCAATGTTTCTTCGCCTGCTTTGGAGGTCGGACGCCCTCCCCAAGACAGTGTACAGGCTCAGACGCATAAAAGCAATGCAGTATTAAAATCATAAAGAGAACAATAGAAAAGTCCAGGATTTAAACCAACAGCAAAACCAGCAATAGCCACAGCAATAGGATCTTATTAGGAGAAGGCCCAAGGGAAATAAGAGGTTTTCTAGGGTGTGTCAAAGCCTGCAGTGATGGAGCATGGCAGACCCCTAATGGCAACTTATTCAGAGATGTGGGGGCGCTGCAACAAGGCCCTGTCATCCTCGGGCATCTGCCTAAGTTCCTGCACAGGTGAGTGAATAAAAAGTGTTCTGTCTTCTTGACCATAAAGCGCAGGCAGGCTGGTGTGGGTAAAGGGATTTAGAAAATGGATCGATCCAGCTGCCTCGCCGCACACCAAAATCTGCAATTTTGTCCCCTGAAGTTTGTGATGCGGCTGGGCCCAGGAAAAGCGCACGGGCGCAGTGCGTGTGCAGGAGGAAGCTGTGCCACATGCCTCATTCCAGCATTGCAGGATGCTTGCAGCAAATGTGCACGTTGCAACGGCAGCAGGAAAACTGCATGAGATCGCAGACGTCGTGGGGGAAATGATACATCTGGAGAATTGAGGAATGCCACATTTCTGCTCTGCTTGCCACCTTTTTTCCTTTTTTTAAATTGCAGTGTCCCTCCCCCCCCCCCCGCCCCGGTGTGCTCCGTTGCGGAGTGGGGACTCGCACCCAGAATGCCTGAGTTCCAGGCCAGCATGCGCACCCCCCTCATTCATTCCTTCGTTTGGGGTACTTGTATGCCGCCTCATTCGCATAAGCCTCGGGGCGGCTTCCAGCAAATAAATAACAACACAAAAATATAAAAATTGGACACATCCAGGCAATAAATAAAACCAATAAATAATTTAACAATTACTTAAAATGACGTTTAAATAAAAAGGTCTTGGCCTGGCGCTGAAAAGCAAATAACGACGGCGCCAGGCGGACCTCTCTGGGGAGCGCATTCCAGAGGTGGGGCGCCACCGCAGAGAAGGCCCTGCTCCGGGTGCTCACCCTCCTCCTGTCCTTCTCGGAGGGCTCCCGGAGAAGGGCCTCTGCCGCCGATCTCGGGGCGGGAGGGCAAGGAGCTCTGTAGCCCCAGGCTCCGTAGCCTCCAGCCAGCCGCCTCAATGATCCTCCTCCCTTTTGCTCCTCCAGCAACGCACAACAGCCCTGCCAGGTCAGCTGGCGGGACTCTGGGGAGGCGAACAGCGCGCGGACGAGGCCTTTGGCACCCAGCCCAGCTCCTTGCGAGCTGCGGGAGGCATTCGAGGGGGTGAAGTCGGGAAACCCAACCGTGTGTGTGTAATACTGGATGAGGGCAGGAAAAAAAGGGGGGCTCGCCCCGTGCAGGGTCCGGCCCTCTGACACAGGCCCCCTCTGTCCCCCCCCAGGACACGGAGATCATCAACACGGCCATCCTCACTGGCCGGACGGTGGCCATCCCCGTGAAGGTCCTTGCCGTCGAGACGACGGGCCTCACCTCGGACGTCACGAACACGGTGGCCTGCAAGTCCAGCAACGAGGACATCATCAAGGTGCGGGGGCAGTGGGGGGGCGGCCCAGGTCAGCGAACAGCCCGGCCAGCGCTGCCTGGGCTGGGTGGTGGAAGGGGAGCAGCCAAAGCAGGGAAGAGCCCGCGGACAGGCTTGTTGCAGGATCAGACGGACTGCTCTGGTTGCAAGTGCAGGGAGGCAGCTTTGAGTTTCTCTGCTTATGGTGTAAATGCAACACAAGAGGAAAAGGGATTGGGATGGAGGAGGAAAACTAAAACTCATATACTCGGATTGGGATGGAGGAGGAAAACTAAAACTCATATATTCGGGTCAGAGAAGAAACATGGGGTCTTTTGCCTGAGGCACGGATCCCACACACAATTGCAGCTAGGAATTTCAGATAAGAATAATAAAGTGCCAGGAAAGTGGTCAAGGGGCAGGTTAAGATGGGCTGTGAAGGCCCACCAAGACCATGAGGACTATTACCCCCATTTTGGGTGTTCTAGTCTCGCATTTTATGAGGTTCACTGTCAGAGGTCTTGCACGTGGAGCCAGACACAAGTACAGGGGTGATTCTTGGATGTGGTAAGAATGTATAAGAGAGCACAGTGTCCTGTTTGGAGCTTTGGAGCTCTGCATGTTTTCAAAAGCACGCGCCAGCCCGGCCGGTGGGCATCGAGCCATTGCGTGGCCGCATCTCCACTAGTGCCCAGCAGACTTCCAACCCATTTCTTACCAAATGGCTCGAAGTGGACTTCTTCTTTTTTTCCCTCGCGTCTACGAAAATGCTCGAAATACTGGTGCGAGAACTAGCACTAAATGAGATCTGTGCAAATTGGGGCCTGCTCGTTAATTAAGCCTCTCTCTTCTTGTCATTCTCCTTTCTTGTCATTATCAACCTGAGAAACGTTGAAGGACCCGCCTCCCACAGCCTGCGCCTTGGCCACCTTGAATTTTGAGACGGCTGATTTCAGAGTTGTGCAAAACCTGGGCCCCAGTGCAAATTTCTGCAAATTTGTGCATAATGTTTGCACATTGTGCATACATGTGTGCAAGTGGCGCAGCTAAAAATTCTGCACACATTCCACCACCTGAAAAGATAAACGCAAGCCCCTCCTCAGACCTGTACATTCTGGCCCACTCTGCAAACGGACATCTGCCCACTGGCCCCGTGTGCGTGCCCGGCAGAGCCCAGGCAAGGCAGTCCCGTGGCGTTTCTCCCCCTGGTCAGATTCCTGCTTCCCAGAGGGTGATTCTGTGGGATCATCATAAGAAATAGCTATGGGCAGGCTTCCTCAAACCCACGCTCCTTTCCAGAGTTGGCCTGTCCGGAGTAACTTTATGAGCAATTACATTCTGTCCCTTTCTTGGTCAGAGTTGAGCTGTTTCACACTTTCCAGACTGGGCATGCATTCCACTGTGGGTCAAAGTGGATACATTTTTGGGAACACACGGACACTCCAGCCATCCCAGTTGTGCACAAATGTTTGGAGAGCCATGTTCTGTTTGGACAACATGGATGGAAAAATGTGCACATTTGAAACCTGCACCCAGGCACACAATGGGAAAGGAAAGGGGTTATTTCCAAGGTGTGTGCTTTTCATTAATACACGCACACTGGAATTCAGCTGGCTCCGGTTTAGGCTCCTTCCCACTTCCATTGTGATGCGTTTGTTTACTCTGGTGTACTGTGTCGTGGTTTGAATGGAGCAGCAACATTTTAAGCCACGGAAGGTGAGTGTGTGCCTTTCAAACATGAGCACAATTGAGGCATCCGTTTGGAAAAACACAAATGGATTTTCATCCGAAAAGAAAAGAAAAGAAAAGGGTACTGTCCACAATCTGTGACAGACGTGAGGCAGAATGATCTCGGAGAACTTCAGCGAGCTGGAATTTGGCTCCTGCTCCCGTTCCCGTGCCAGTCCTAAGTCGCCTGCCGATCAATCACGCTGGCTGGCCCATCTCCTCTGGTGGTCCTGCAGCCGCCTCTGCACCGTCTTCCACGCCAAATGAGCATTTGCCGTTGCAGGACTGGCTGCTGTGAAGACCCTTTCCCCACAAACAGGCGCGCAGTGCAAGGAGCGGGCTCAAAGACTTCCTTTTGTTCCGAAACCACGTGGAAATGTCCCCGTTCCGATCCTGAATGCAGACATAAAGAGGAGCGCTTCTGTTGGAGGAGCGTTGTGTGTTGGAAAGCATCCCTTTTATCCTCTTAAAAGAAACGGTGGACTTTGAAATGAGCGATGTTTAGAAAAGTACACATCTCCATGCTTTAGTCAGTGGGAGGAAAGCACAGAACTTTGTCTCTTCCAGATGTGCGATTTCCTGATCTGTGTGAGCCAAAAATAAGTTCATTTATGAAATGAGGAGCAGGTGGACTCGAGGCACATATTTTCGGAGTGTTTCGGTCGCTCGGAAATGCTGGTCCGGCACGCTGAGGCGCAGGAGGCCGAGGAGTCTGCCAGTTCACCCCTGGCTCCGGCGATCTGGATAAAACCACCCACCTGATTTATCAGTGCTGTTCTTCATGCCTCTTTTGAAACCCAGACAAGCCCCGTGGCCATCGCGCGCTGCCAGAGAGGGCCCTGAGACACTTCGATGGGCCGGCGTGTTACCTCCCTGCCCATAAATCTCCAGTCGCTGTCTCTGGAGCTGAGGGGGGGAGGGCACAAGCCGGCTGAAGCACGAAGCCGAGATGAATGATCGACCCCCGTGCCTGGCCCCTCGCCTTCCCTCTTCTGTTAAGTTCCTCAGCTCCGCTGCTGCCCCCTCTGAGTTATGCCGACGATTCTGCACAGAGCTGTGCTTGAAAGGGGCTCTCGCTTCCCCGGAGAGAACGAGCGGGCGGGCAAGTCCTCCTGTCAGGGCGGCAGACCTGCGCCGTCCATCAAGCCACCTGCACTCTGCCACTGCGAATAATTCAGCGTGCGGGAGAGCCGTGGCGTTGCCGCCGGCTGCCTCCGCTGCCCCGGGGTGCGCACCGCAGGCGGGGCGTAGCCGGCAGAAGCGGCTCTGTCGAGTGCCAGGCCTGCGCGATGCCGGGAAGAACCCTCTGGCCACCGGAGTCCCGCGCCGCGAGGGCTGCCGTGCCGCACGGGCGGTGGCGGAGGCCTGCCCCGGCGTGCACCTCGGGGGCCGCGCGGCGCCGCAGGTCAGTGCCCCCGCGTCTCCGACTGGCCGCAGGTTCCTCGCCGGAGTGTGCATGGAACTGGGCACCTTAGGGCGAAACACGACGAGAATAAGGCCCAGGAATGCCTGTTTATGGGGGAAAAGGTTTTTGCTCGCAGCGGTGTATACCGGGCAGAATGGCGTATGAAGAGGCAGACGTGGGGGAAAGTGGGTCAGGGGGTGAGGCTGGAGCGACTGCTCCACGCTGCAGCCCCGCAGAAGCACGGCCGGGAAGGCGGCCCAACGGTAGGTCAGCCCTGGGCTGTTTTGGGCTCTGGCCTCCCGAGTCTGGGTGCCGGGAGCTGAACTGCCAACCCCGTGGACTGCCTTCTGCCCCGCCCCGAGCGGCCAGTAAGACTGGCTCTCGTTGCTCGGTTCATCTGTACCCAAGTGAACAGCGGGAGCTCTCCGTGGTCGCTGGTGTTTCAGCAGGAGCCAGTCAGCGCAGCGCAAATGCAGCATGAAATTCAGTATGAAGTTAAAAACGGAATCGGAAGCTTCTGATACCTTCAGTGGACTGCTGTGCACGTGTGCCCCCCAAAGGGCATCCCGGCCCCAGCAGCCAGGGAGTGTTCACACGGCACCAGGAGGCTGAGCGAAGCGGCACCCGGCCGGCCTTGGCGAGGAGCTCGATCTACGGCTGGGGCCCACACAGAGGAGACCCCGCTCTCTGTTGCCACCAACCAAGGCTTCCTCGGGGGTGTAGCGCCTCTTTGTACTTTGATCTGCAGCCGCTGAGGGGTCCTTACACGTCAGGAGCTATCCGTGGTGCTGAGCACCTTCTCCACATAGGTTTAGCCACCTGGAGAGTGACTTTAAAATTCAGCGTGAAACCAGGAGTGGCTTCGTCACCCCACTGACAAACTGGCCGGTTGCTATAAAAAAGCTGGCCAGCCACCTGAGTGGGATGGTGTGGATGGGTGTCCTGCAGCAGCAGCAGCAGCAGGGGCTGGACCGATGGCCTCCTTGGCCTCTTCGAACTCTACTATAGTTCTGTGATTCTAACTCCCCACTCCTGCTTGTCTGCCGAGAGCAGCTGCTTGGGTTGGGGCAAGCCCCCCAGAAGCTCTGTGTGCAGAAATTCTTGGGCTTCAGCCATGCCATCTCCGGGCACCCTGTGCTGGGAAACATAGAAACAGAGTGGGTCAGAAGGGGCCTCCCGGGCCATCTAGTCTGACCCCCGCTCCAGCCGGCTCCACTTATAACATGCCCACCATGTGCATGTCCAGCTTATCCTTGAACACCTGCACCGATGGGGCCTCAGCCACCTCCCGTGGAAGCCCATTCCACACCATCGGTGTCCTGACTGTCAGGAAGTGCTTCCTGGCATCCAAACGAAACCTTGGCTCCCTGAGCTTGGCTCCATTGGAGCACGTCCTGCCTTCCTCTGCAGGGGAGAACAGGTCTCTCTACCCACCGCCGTGTGACACCCCCTCACATACCTGCGTGTCGCCAACAGAAGCATCTCCTTGGCCAGGGGCCATGGCTGCCTTCTGGGTGAAGAGGCCTGGGGCAGAGGGGCAGGGTGAGCCCCACCGGAAATACCCCCAGGGTTGTGCTTGACGCTCTCCCTGCCCGCCCCTCAGTTGTAGGAGAAGTTTTCCTCCCGTCTGCAAGAGGGGAAATGAATGCCCAGCCACAGGGGAGCCGCCCCGGAGACTGATGGGAAGGTGCTGGGGCCCCCTGGCGGTGTCCGAGTGCTGGATTGGGCCCCCACGGGGACGCGATTTGGCCCACAGCCCCGTGGCTCACAACCCCCTGTTGTAGCTGACACTGGGCTTGTTGAACCAAAGGTCTGATGTGGCAGCGTTTTATTTCGTTAAAATGCCACATTATTTTCTGTCCACTGTAATACATCCAAGGAATTTGTGTCAGCTGCCGCCACTGATACCAAAATATCAGTGCATCTGATTTGTAATTAATGAAATGCAAGTGGATGCAGTTCTCCCTTTAAAAATATATTTAAATGGACAGGATAGGTCATGTGCCACTTGACCTCTTCCAGCAGCTTGTGCTCAGATAGCCTGTCGGAAGTTGTCAGAAATCTTTGTGAAAAGCAGAATACAAAAGGAAGAAGAAAATTTCAGCAATTCCTCCCATTTACAGAAGGGAGACGTTGTGAGCTTGGGCAGCTCCTTTGTGCAGTCCAAGCCACAGACTTTTCCCTGCAGAGCATCCTTTACTCACCCAATGAGTCTCTGTGCATGCACAGAGCGGTTTGCTGAACCCGGTCTAGGGTTCATCTCCACAAACTCTCCTTTTGAGCATGCCTGGCCCTGTCCCTTTGAGGAGGGGCCTTCCGGCCGCAAGCAGCACCTGCCTTCCTCAGGATCTCTCCGCGGCGCTGAGCACCGTCTCCAAGTGGGTTTCGTGCTTCCGTCAAGCGCAGGCGGGCATTCGCACAGACAAATGCCAGTTGTGCAGCTAAACGGAACCTTTCCCCGTCTGAACCGAAAGGAAGATGAAACCGGCATTCAGGAGCGGGAACTTGGTGGAATTTGGAGACCAGCTAAACCCTCCCTGATTCTCTCACTCAAATTCTCTGGTTGTATTTGAATGCTGATTTTATGCTTCTTCGGCTGCAGAAGGCTGGGAGAGAAAGCCCTTACCGGCTTGTGTTGCTGGGTGTGTTTATTAATGTAGGGGAGGTGAGCTACAGTACATCTTCCCTTTGATGAACGATGCAATATCCATAGATGGAGTTTCGGAGCTCATTCTTATTCTGATGCCGCGCTGAGATTGTCGCTGCAGACATGCCGAGCTTATGTCACCAGGATGGCGAAACGGAGCCTAAGTACTCCTGGGGGAATATGAGGAAACAAGAATCCTGGCAGCTCCCACCAGCCCCAGGGGAAGGGGTCCGGTTCTCTTTTTGGGGGGCGTCACATGCTGGGGGGCAGTCCCAGACTGCTTCTTTGTGCTTGCTCCAGACCTCCAAAGAGTGGAAGGAAGCTTGGGGATGCTTGCTGAGCCCCGGTCCCACAACCGGCAGCCCTCTTCCGCTCCGGCACCGGCAGCCCCAAAGGTGCCTCCGTCTGGTGCACATGAGGCGCTCTGCATGTTTGGGATATGGCCGTCAAGGATAAATTGCTGTGTGATGTTAAAACAAGGAAAGGGCATGTAAGGGAGAACAAGTTTGACAAGGTGTGAGGTTCATTGGTTGATTATGTGCCGAAAAAGGGAAAGGAGAAGAAGCGTTACAGGAGTCATTACAATTTCAGAAGCGGGAGGAAGCTTCTTGAAAGAACTTTGGAAAGAGTGCTTAACATGTATCTAATGGTCCCAGTTGTAGGATGCACAGTGCCTTTTATTATTTATTTTAATTGTATGTTTAATGTGGCATGTTTTATTTTAATTGTATTTCTTTTAAATGTATTTTACATCATACAATCAATTTAAAAAGGAAGAAAAAAGAGTGAGGGAGCCCTGCAGAAGTGAATGTCCCCCAATGGCAGCTCCCATTGTTCCAGCTGGCCTAGCCACTGGTGGTGGGGGATGGGGGTTGCAGCCCAAAGCCCCCGGGGGGAATCTCCTCCGAAGCATGCCCGTGAAGGGCTGCTGTGTGCCCTAAGAGGAATCCAGAGATGCACCTCCGTGCCCAGGATGGGCAGAATGAAGACGGGCCCCTGCTCAGTGTCCAGGCGCTCCCCCCTCCCTGCAGGTCTCCAGCAGCTGCGACTACGTCTTCGTGAGCGGCAAGGAGTCCAGGGGCTCCATGAACGCCGGCGTCGCCTTCAGCTACGAGCATCTCAGCGCCCTCCTGGAGATGACGGTCTGGGTGCCCAAGCTCCCGCTGCACATCGAGCTCTCGGACCCCTGGCTCAGCCAGGTGAAGGGCTGGCGAGTGCCCATCTTGCCGGACCGGCGGTAGGCGTGCTTGTGGGGCCGGGCCGTGCTGCGGGTCAGCCTGGCGGGTTCGGGGGCTCGGGCGGAGGGGCCTGCCAGCCCTTCCCAGACCCTTCCCATGGAGGGTCCACTCAGTGCAGAGGAAGGCGGGAGTTTGGGCTGAGCTCCCCAGACAGGCAGGCCAGCCCTGTCCGAAGCAGGAGCCCGTGGCCCCTGCCGTGCCTCTGGCCCGGGGCTCGGGCGCCAGTCTGCCCGCTCCATCGCTGAGTGATCTGCCCGAGTCCCCCGTCTTCACAGACCAGGGGGGCGGCTGCTCCAATGCCTCCCAACACCCCACAGGTCGATACGGGAGAGCGAGGATGACGAAGAGGAAGAGGAGCGGCGGCAGAGCCGGGGCTGCACCCTGCAGTACCAGCACTCTTCCCTGCAGGTCTTCACGCAGTTCCACACCACCTCCTCCGAGGGCACCGACCAGGTGGTCACCATGCTCGGCCCCGAATGGATGGTCGAGGTCACGGACCTGGTCAGCGACTTCATGAAGGTCGACGACCCCCGGGTGGCCCACATGGTGGACAGCAGCACCCTCGCTGGCCGGGAGCCCGGCACCACTGTCTTCAAGGTAAGAGCCCGCAGCGTCCTCTTTGGCAAGGCGGGGGCGGCGCGCGGGGGCTGGAGCCCCGGATCCTCCGCGCGGAGAACTGAACCCCTGCAGGCGCTGCCTGCCCGGACACCTGCGGGCAATGACGCGACCGGCCATGTGCCGCCCGCCAAGGCTTTGGTCGTAATGAAACACCCTCTGCTCCCCGGCCCCACGTGAGGACAGGTGTCTGTAGGAGATGCTCACGTGCACCCTTGACAAGCATCTGTATTTGCTCAGTTCATATGCTGCCCCACCGGCCGCAGTCTGGGTCTCTCTGGGTGGCTTACAAAATGTTATACGTATGAACCCGTGCAAAGCCATGTTTTTTTTTGGCCTTGTGGGCCTGAGTGTGAGGTCTCTTCCTCCCTAACCTGCCCCTGTCACTTGGATTCACGGCACACGGTCACATGGGGCTGCCCTTGGAGACAGCCTGCAAACTTGAGCTGCTCTGGGTGGGGTCGTGTCTCTGTGTTTGCAGACGGGGCCCACACACGTGCATCGGGATCTTTTGCACAGGTGCAAAACACACATGGCTGCTTTTCTGTTGGAGAAGCCATCAAAATTGGCTCATGAGCTCACCGCAGATGTGCGCAGAAAGCGCTGGCCCGCCGGGGGATTCTGCAAAGACTGATCAAGCAAGGCGAATGCTTGCCTGTACCGCATTGGGTCCAGAGAAATTGGGGTGAAGAAGGGGCTGGGGATGGCTCAACCTGGCGGCTCGACTTTGCTCAGCTTTGGGGAAGTGTGTGTCAGCAAAGCCTGAGCTCTCGGGCCACGTTCAGACTTGAGCTCATATTAGGTTACAAGCATCGATTAGTTCTAACTGGCATGAAAGTCTCTGGTCCATTTTTGCTGGATGTGTGTGAGACACCTGCCTAGCTCCATGTTGGTGCTGATCTCCTGGGTTGCGTGAGCCAGCTCACAGACTCCCCTCTAAGACAGGCTGCGATGGATGCATCTATGAAAAAATATTCCCGCAACAGCCATTTGCTTTCGTGCTGATTTTATGCAAGACGTGTGCCCCCACCCGGTGCCAATTTGCGCAAAATGAGCAAAGGACGGTGGTTTGCGTGCATAGTGTAAACCTTGCAAAATTGTGTGTTTCCACAAATTGGGCAAATCGTGTGATTTGAGAACATTTTCTTTTTAAAAATGGTCAACAGTGACCTATTTTAGAAATGAGTGGTTGTGGATGCCGCCCCAACTTGTCCCAGAGGGCAGGAAGCTGGTTGCACTGGTCTTCCCAGCATCAGCGAATCAAACTTTTCTCCCATTGTCGAAAGCGCCTGTGTGTGCGTTTTTCAGAAGTACACTTTGTGTGCACCTTTTCCAAATATACATGTGCTGTCGAACACCTGCTTGGCAGGGGCTTCCTGAACAGCACTGGAAATTTGGAAGTGTACAGACCTGGATTGCAGCTTTTGTTCAAATGTGAGTCTGGAAGGTGTGAACTGGATAATTCTTGATCAAAGGCAGCCTGAAACCAATTTCTGACATATCCCTGCTCAGGTTTTCTCTGCTTCTTAGAGAAGCAAGACTGAAGATGTTAGCGAAATGGCCTTCCCCTCAGCCCAGATTGCCTTATGTTTGGGTTATGGGCTGAGAAGGGGGAAAACACCAGGGCCCACTTCCTTCTGCTTTGCCACACCCAAAACAGATCCCTGCAGGTAGAAACCTGGCATGCCAAGGGTGAACCTGGCGACTGCCATCTCGCTGAGGCACTGGCTTCTTATCTGTGTGAGCAAACGCTCTCTCGGCTCCCCCTTCGGCTTTGCATTTGCAAACACGGGCACCTTCCCTCTGTGCATTCCCCCCCGCCCGAATGTCTTTCCACTCAGCCTCTGCTTGAGCCCGTGCCAGGCACCTCCGTAACTGCCATCCGTTCCAGGCCTCGGCAACGGATTGCCTTCCTAAGCAGAATTCCCAGGCTCCCAGATGCTGTTTTGAAAGGCTGGCGTACCTCAAGGTCGGTGTGTCTTCTGCTGGCAAAAAGTACTTGGGAGAGCCCACCCCCCCATGCACAGGGGATGCTCGGTGGATTGGCGCATTAGCATTTGAGGCTTCAGTCCAGGGGGAGAAGTTGGGCACGTGACTAGAAATCTCAGCAGGCAATTTTGCAATCAAGAATCCCAAAGCTGGAAAAAAAGCAGAAACTCTCTGCCTATGGGCAAGGCCTCAGGCTCACAATAAGGGATGGGGGACCTTGAGGGGCCCCCAATCGGTCATGCTCCCTTCAGGGGTCTCCTGGCTTTGGCGCAATCCCCCCCCCCCCCCAATTCTAAGAGGTGTAAACGCCCTTCCTTAGCTCACTGGCCAAGAAGAACTCCCAGCTGCAAAATGCTGGGCTTTGGGACTGCTGCAGGCTAAAAAGAATGTGTGTGTGTGTGTGTGTGTGTGTGTGTGTGTTTGCACAAATGTGCCTTTTCAAGTATTTGCCATTTCCAACCTGGGAATGCAAGGGTCATGAGCTTAAGTTTCTTCCCTTCGCACACTCAGACTTCTTTGCAAAACGTTCTTTAGTCACCAAAGTGCTTTCCAGAGGCACCCAGAAGGGACCTCTGAGCATGCACAGAGTGGTTCACTGAACCCAATCTAGAAACCCCCCTTTTGAGGAGGCTGGGGCCCCGTCTGTTCGGGAGAGGACTTCTGGAAGCGAGCGCGCCTCCTCTCTGTGCGCCGACCCTCTCAGCGGGCTGCCCCCCACCCCTGGCAACGCGCCACGGGGCCCACCTGGGCTGCCCCTGGGAGCCTGTCCTCTCCCAAGCCCCTCCGACAGCGGCGGTGCTGTCATCAGCCACTGAGTTGCGTCCGACCCTCGGCTGCTCTCCAAGCCCCTCCGTCCCGCACTGTCTCCTTCAAGTCTGCCACGGTCATCCCCGTGCCCTCCTCTGTGGTCGCCAGCCAGCGGGGGTGGGGGCGGCCCCTTCCCCTTTTTCCACTGATTGTTCCCAGCGTGAGTGACTGTCCGCGTGAGCCAGCTCTCACGACACGGCCAAAGTACGGCAGCCTTTGTTTGGAGGGCTTGGCTCCGAGCGATGTTTTGGCGAGGCCCGCTCGAGGGCTGCTCTGCCGTTGCTGCAGCCCGTGGGATGCGTGAGAGCTGCACATCTTGGGAAAGGGTTCTCAGAGGCTCCTGGAGCACCAGGGAGCCCGGCCTCAAGATGAGCGCCTGTGCCTCTCTCAGCTTAGCGCCTGGAATCAGCCCTCATTCCGAGCCCCCCCCATCCCTCCTCTTCCTCCGAGCCCCAGGAATGCTTGCCAGGAGCAGCTGCCCCTTCAGTCCCAGTAGCAAGGTCTGTCCAGGAGTGGCCCACCCCGTAAGAATCCCGGCACGGGCCCCCTGTCAGGCGACATGGCTTTCTCCCCTGCAGGTGGTGTCTCCGCTCGTGGAAGCCGTCCTCGGAGAAGCCCTGGTCACCGTGGCGGACGAGAAGGTCAGCATCACCGAGCTGAAGGCCCAGCTCATCTCCAACCTCTCCTTGACGCTTCACCCCAGCCCGGGGAGCAGCCACACCATCGTGGCCAAGGCGACGGCGCAGCAGACCCTCAACTTCTCCAAGCAGGTAACCCTGCCAGCTCCCTCCCGCGGCGCTTCGGCCGGAGTGGCAGCTCCCGGAAGGTCCCGCGCGATGGCTCTGGCGGGCCCCCTCCTCGCAAGCAGCCGATGAGAGGGCACGTTTCTTCCCTGCCCCGCAATGCAGCAGGAGGCTGATGTGATGGGGGATTCCCTGCATGTAGAAATCTAGGGTGGCAGGGAGCCGAGGAGGCTTAAGGTGGGGCAAATAGCCTTCCCCCACTCCCTCTGGGGAAAAGAAACATGCGGAGGGCAGGCGAGAGAGGGAGTGCGTCACCCCGAATTTCCTCGGAGTTTCAGGGAACCTGACTTTGTGAGCAGCGGCAGTGCTGGCTTATTTTCTGCTGATTTATTGGTGCATTTAGCTGCCAAGATTGGTGGCAAAAACCCTGCTCAGCAACTGCCTGCTAGTGGTCAGGGTTTCCCTGGACTGTGATACACGGTCACTGCAGGAGCATTGTGGGGGGGGGCAGGGGGCAGGCAGCTGCTAATGGGGAAAACCTTTCTGCCCCCCACATAAGCCCGTGGGACGGTACTACCCGCCCCAGCACTGTTGGGGTGTCTGCCAGATTGTTTGATTGCAGGTCCATTGGCTCGGCAAAGCTATATTTCTAGGTCATGCTGGTTTCTCTGTTATTCAGCTTTAAGTCTGTTCCATTCAGTTTCCATATCAATCCACATTAAAAGCGGGGAGGGGCATGAACATTTGCATTTCTTTTGGTTCTCCGCTCCCCTGCTGTAGGCATTTTCCTATGCAACTTTCACTAATCTATGTGCTTTTGTACACCATTTTCCATAATTTTTTGGTACACAACAAAAGAACAGGGAGTCGAGAACAGGGCTGAGAGAACAGCAGGATTTCACGAACCAAAAAATGCTCGCCTTGTTCCCCGTTTCCAGCTGTGATCGCTGATCGCTCTGTGCGCATGGGAGCATTGCGCAATGAAACCGCTGAAAGGCAGATGTGTGCAAATCTCCCCAAATCTTGCCGCTTTCTTCCAAGGGCGAAAGAGGGCTGGTTTGGTCCGTTGGAGAGTTGTGTGCAAATCAGGAATTCTGGAAGAGACGAGCGAGAGGGCACGCTCAACCATTTGCAAGCCGTGGGTGTGTGTTCATGTTTCAAACAAGGTGTGCTCACGTGTTTTGCGAGCAAAAATGAAGTTCTCTCATCTCCCAAGAATTTGGACTTGCGCACCCCCTTCAGAGCCTGGCCAACTCAAAGCCCAAGGAGATGTAACATTTATTATTTTTTGTATGTTTTAGTTTTGCACTGCCCACAACAGTTGAGGCTCTCCGAGTGGTTAACAAAAGTTAGAAAAAGCAAAGAAAATTAACCCCAAACCACAGCAGCCGTTGCAATTGCTTCGGCACGGAAGCAGAGCAGTTGTACAGAATAAAACGCAGCTAAGTGTAAAGTTGAGAAGTTAAAACTGTTAAAATGCTGGGAGAACAAACGCGTCTTCACCTGCTTCTGAAAGGAATACAAGTAGGTGCCAGGTGCCCCTCTCTGGGGAGCTCCTTCCACAGCCAGGGCGCCACCACTGGAAAGGCCCTCCTGGCAGCCACTGTCCCCACGTCCTGTGGAAGGAGCCCCTGGAGAAGGACCCCAAGGTGACTGCAGGTGCATGCAGGAGCTGGGGACCCCTCAGAGCACCTGGTCAGGACTTTGCGTGTTCTCGCGGACCTGGCTAAAAAGAAGGGGAAGGAGCCCCACAGGTCACCCCGGCTCCTTGCAAGTGCAGGGAAGCGGGAGGTGGGTCGGAGCAGAAGTCGAACTGATGAGCGGAGCGGGGGGAGACACTGGCACGGCCTTCTCCATCCCGCCCCCTCCTGATGGGTGGGGCGCCAGCTCTCATCCATGAGGATGATGGGGGCTGTAGTCTGAGGCAGTGGCAGGGCACTGTGCTGGGGAAGGTTTCTGGGCAGAAAGGGGGGGGGGAATATGAGTGGCACGCTGGCCCACGAGCTCTGGGTAAGGGCACGGGGGACGGTGGGGCGGCTGGACTGGCACGGAGCAGCGGCTCCTGGCCGCAGCCCGGGACCCTGGAGCGGGGCTCCCGAAGTGAGCAGTGGAGGCTCTTCCCCGCCTCCTGCCCTGTGGCACTGTCCAGGCACAAAAGTCCCGTGTCACGGAAAATTCTGTGATGCAGGGCAGGGGGCGCGCCGGAGACCTGCTGGGGCGGGGCCCACGCTGGCCGGGAATTCTGGGAGTTGCACTCCAGGACACCGGAGGAGCTCCCCGAGTTGGGGTTCCTCTGCGGAAAGGCCTCGCGTGCTCCGGAAGCGCCGCACGAGCGCTCCCGTTGCCCCGGCCAGCCTGGGGAGGCCGGTCCTGCCTGCCTGCCTGCCTGCCTGCCTCCGGGGTCTCCGGCCGGGGATGGTCCGCAGCCGGCCCTACACTGTCCTGTTCCTCCTGCAGGAGGCGCTGCTGAGCCTCTGGGTGCTGTACAGCGACGGCACCACGGCTCCCCTGTCCCTGTACGACCCCAGGGACTACGCGCTGGTGGTGACGAGCCAGGACACGGCGGTGGTGTCGGTGGTGCCCGGCCGGGCCGTCCCGCTGGTGCGGGCCGAGGGCGAGGGCTTCGGCGAGCTGCTGAAGGTGGAGCTCACCATCTGCGAGGCCTGCCAGAAGACCAAGCGCAAGAGCGTGCTGGCCACGGCCCTGGCCAGCGTCCGCGTGCACTTCAGCTCCGAGGAGGAGCCCAGCTATGACTACGAGCCCGTGCAGACGCCCAGCCGGCCCGGGCGGGAGAGGGGCGTCCCGGGCACCACGCCCCGGGCGGAGGGGAGGTGGCGCCCGGTCCCCAGCCCGGAGCGCCGTCCGCCGAGCGCCGTGCTCCCCACGGAGGACTTCCCCACCATTCCCACGGGCTACGTGCAGGTGCCGCGGGGCCTGACGGACCTGGAGATCGGCATGTACGCCCTGCTGGGCGTCTTCTGCCTGGCCATCCTGGTCTTCCTCATCAACTGCGTCGTCTTCGTGCTCCGCTACCGGCACAAGCGCATCCCGCCGGAGGGCCAGACCAGCACGGACCACTCGCACCACTGGGTCTTCCTGGGCAACGGGCAGCCCCTGCGGGCCCGGGGCGACCTCTCGCCGCAGCCCGGGGGCCCCGGCGGGGCGCCGGAGGGCGTGCAGGGCTGCTGCCCCGGGGACCAGCACAGCAGCGGCTCCTCGCAGACCAGCGTGCAGAGCCAGGTGCACGGCCGCGGGGACGGCTCCTCGGGGGGCTCCACCCGCGACCAGAGCGAGGACCCGCTGAACTCCCCCACCTCCAAGCGCAAGCGGGTCAAGTTCACCACCTTCGCCACCATGCCTTCCGAGGAGCTGGCCTACAACTCGGTCCCCGTGGCCGACGAGGAGGACTTGGAGTGGGTCTGCCAGGACGTGGGGCTGCGGGACCCCGAGGAGCTGCGCGGCTACATCCACCGGGTCAAGGAGATCGCGTGACGGGGCGGACTTGACGCGTCTCGGGCCGGGGGGGGCTTGGCGGGGGGTCCTCCCTGGGGGGCCGTGCTCCCCCTGGGCTTGGCGGCCTTCCCCTGCCCGGCCCTCCTCTCCGCGGAGAAGCCCGGGGACACTGTGCCGAGTGACACGCAAGGGGAAAGCGGCATCCCGTGCGATAGGATGCAGCCTTCGCTCGGGGGCCCAGCTGTCCTGGGGAAGCGGCTGCGGGGTGCGCTGGAGAAGTCCGGGGGGACCCGGCCGCAGCGGGGGGCTCCGAGGGGAGGGGCTGGCACCGTCGGGTGGGCGGAGCTTCTCTGTGGAATCGGCCAAAAAGCGGAATCGGTCCTTGTAGCTGGTTGGTTGCTGGGGGGAGGCCACCCCTTGCCTTCCTGACATCACGGCTGCCTTGCTGCCCGCCTCCGAGAGGCGATCCTTCCTGTGGCCCCTCCGCTGCTTTTGCTTTTGCTTTCCTTTCCTCTCCTCTCCCTTTTCTTTTTTTTTTCTTCCTTGCACAATAAATGCGGACTGTTTCAAAGAAATCTCATTCGGGGCTCTGCCCAGCCCTGCTGGGCCTGCGTGGGGTGGCGCTTCTGGAGCAGGGAAGGGGGACCCGCACCACGAATGGGGGGCCTGAGTCGGACGGCTGCCGGGCCCGCAAGGCGGCCTGGGCTCCCTGTTGCATTATGGGGGGGCGACAGTCCAGCCGCTCCCCCGCGCTTCCTTGCCTGCAGGGCCTCGGCCACCGCCACCCCCCAGCCCTGCCTGGGCTTACTCTCCCGGCACGCAGCAGGGGGACTGAGGGGGGCCGGGCTGCGGTGGGGGAGGCGGGAGACCCCCGCGGTGCAGCAGGCTTCCTGGGGAGGCAAGGAACAGGGTCTGAGACCCTCCAGGCCCGGGTTTCATGCAGCTGCCTATCCGTCTGCAGCCACGCTAGCAGCTGGGTTCCACAGCCGCCTCTTCATCGCGGCCGCTAGTCCTGAGTGAGCTAACACTGCTTACACACGTGTGCGCGCGTGCGCGCATGCGCACACACACACACACACACAGAGTGGCTGGCCAGCTGGGCTTCCTCCGCAAGCCGTCTCTTCCCCACGCATCGGGGATGAGGACCGTGGGACGTGTGAGCCGCCAGGAGACGAGGCTTGCAGAAGGGTGGCAGGTTGGGTGCCAGGGCAGGAGGGGAGGTGTGCCGTGGGCAGGCAAGTGCACGGGGAGAGCTGGTTTCGCACTCGGCTTACAGCACATGCTCACGTGTACCCAGCCCAACCCAGCTAGAGGTGGGAGTCTCACTTTTCCTCTTCCCCACAGGTTGCTTTTCCTCATCCCCTGCACTGCCTCCCACGCCCCACGGAGGGAGGGTTGGGCCTGACAGGGGGAAGCCCTCGCTTCGCCCTCCGGTGGGGGAGGCAGCAGCTGCCTCCCTTGCGGGGGAGCTGTGCCAGGCAAGGCGGGCGCACGGCCCACCTGGCAATGTGCATTTCTCCCTTCAAGGCGGGGAAGCCACTTCGGGTGTCGGTGGGGCAGCGGTGGAGAAAGCACAAGCAAAAGTTCTGGTGGCAGGGAGCCCATTTTAAGATCTGGGGGTTCAAAGGCCGCTCTGGTATAGATTCCGGGGAAAGAGCATGGAAAGCGGCTTTAAAAACATCGGTGCCGGGTACTTTCCTCTCCCCATTCCTCTCTTCTGTCTGTCTGTCTGTCGATCATCTGTCAAGCATCTTTCTATTGATCTGTTTGGAATCCCTCCATCCCTCAATGGTGGTGTAGTGGAACCTGGGCTCAGAGGGACACATTGTCCCCCCCCAGCGGGGGCTCTGATCTCCGTGTTCCCTTCGCTGAAATCCCAGTGAATTCTCGCAGTGGCAACAGGGCTTTCTCTGCAGGCACAGAAAGGACTTTGGCATGACTTGGTCTGGAAAGGCCGGTTTGCTTTACCAGCGGCGTCCTCCTGGTGGAAGTGGATGCGGCTAGATTTGTGAGGCGAGAGGAGGAGGGGGAGGAGTGCAAAATCAGCCTTCGTAGGTCATCCAGGCGATGCTGCGGCCACTCTTGGAGGACTGTCCAGTGCAGGCCGTCGCTCCTAAAACGAACATTGCTGGGTTTGGAAAAGGGCAGCTCAGAAGGCGAAGGGACTGGAGCGGGTCCCCCGGAGGAAAGGCGCTGGTGCTGGGGGTGGTTTTGCAGAGGGAAAAGGAAGTGGGTGAGGAGGGACGTGGCAGAGGCATCCAAGGTGGCGCCTGCTGCAGGGAAAGCGGAGGGGGGTCGGCTGTGCCCCCCGTCACGCGGAACCCAAGGGGGTCACCCCGCCGAGCGACCGTTCCACAGAAGCAGCCCTTTACCCAGCACAGCATCCGACGATGGCGTTCAGTTCCGCAAGAAGGACTGGTGGCCACGCACCCGGACAGCCCCCAGGAGGGCTGGACCAGCGTGTGGTGGAGGAGAAGGCTCTCCGTGCCGCTAGTCCTGATGGCTGACCAGCGCTTCTGGTAGCAGATGCAGGGCAGCTCTTTCGGCCGCATGGGAGGAGGGTCCTCATGGACCCCCACGGCATCTGATCGGCCGCCCTGCGGGCAGAATGCTGGACTCTGAGCCCGCGTGGGCCCAATCCAGCAGCAGGGGTGTTCTGGTGTTCTGATGTTCTTAGCTGGTTCTTAGCTGGCCGCTTCTCTGGGCTCTCCTTGGGGGCATGACTGGGGGGGGGGGGCGTGCCAGGATTTGCCATTACACCGCCTCTCCTATCTGCCTCTCTTCTTCTGCCTGAGAAGGACTGGAAGTGTCAACCGCAAGCCTCCCAGTCCAGGCCGCCGTGTGCAGGGGTGGCTGTGGGTTCGGGAGGAAGAAACCCGTCTTTCAGTGGGGCTGGGCGCATGGGCCCCTTGCCGCCCTCGGCTCCCTCAGCACCGTGGCTGTTAGTGGAGACTGGGGGACACCAGACCCCAACGCCGAATCTGCCACGTGGCGTTAGCAATGTCAGGGGCTGTCGGAGGAACCAGCAGCGGACAGCAATGAACTTGGGGTTCTGAAAAGCGGGGCCACCCATCCCGCAGCAGACGAGCTTTCCCAGGCTGCGTGGATTCTGTGGGTTTGTGCACCAATGGTGTTCTTAAGCACCGGGTGTAATTTTACACAGATTTAGCCATGGAAGAATATATGACCACCCACCAACCGTGCATTTCCGTCATGGGCTAAAGTGTGAAAACCTGCATTTTTCAAGGAGTTGCACATACTTTTATGGGGAAGGGGACAGGCATTTTGGCAGTGCAGATTTGTGCAGCTCTGAATTTTGTGCAGATCCTCATTCCATGAACAGGTGAAAGAACCCAAAAAAAAAAAAAAAAAATAGAGATAGGATTTTACAGTGGCCTGGACAGAACTGCAGTCCGGTCCTGGAAACGCTCGCGTGCGAAAGCTGCGATGGAGCGGACCTATCTTACAATACCGGATATCAAGTAATACTGGGAAGTGCTTAATGTGTTGTCTTGTGGGGCCCCTGACATAGAAACACAGAAGCAGAGCGAGCCGGGAGGGGCCTCCCGGGCCATCCAGTCTGACCCCCAGCTGCAGCTGGCTCCGCTCGCGACAGGCCCACCACGTGCACGTCCCGCCTGCTCATGGCAGTCTGCTCCTGGAAACGGATTTGGGGTTGATGGGCCATCACGTCGTCCAGCCGCTTCGTCATCTCTACCAAGCAGGACCCTTCCCCATCCATTGGAGTTCCTTGGCAGGCACGCCAAACGTATCAGCTGAATTCAGTGTTGATAAACTAGTTTCTCACCGAGCAGAATGTGGCAAGCAAAACCCAGTTAGTGCTCCTGTTCCTGGTTCCTTTTCGAGCCACAGAAGATAAGCACAGTGTGGAGCAGCCCCTGCCACTGGCTGGCGGTACGGAGACGCTGGAGTTACACCGTCCCCAGCAGCAGCTCTCCAGGTCGTGGGTTCCATCGCTGTCCTGCTCTCGGTCCAGAAGTTCCTCCGGAGAACCCCGATCAAGCGCAACGCAAGCCCGTTTCCCACGGAGGCCGTCGGGAACAGAATCCATCAGCTGGGCAAACAGTGCTGCGTAGCGGGAGATGATGGGATGCAGCTAGCTGTCCCTTTTCTGGCGGTTCGTGGACTATGCATGTTCCCCCGGAAGTGCTAGAAATAGGAGGTTAAAGGGAAAAAGCAAAGCAACCACCTTAAGTCCCAGTCCGGGCCTGTTGCAGACCAAAAGTCCAATCGCCATGTGAAATGTGCACTGGGGATCACGCAACTGGAAGCTGTGCTTGTAGAACCCATGGAGTTCCCAGCCCTCCAAGCAGTGTGGGAACTGTAGCTTTTTATTAGGGTTTTTTTTTTTAAACTGCCTTTTTCTTCCCTGGTTCTCTTAACAGTAAACAAATCCCACGAGACAAATCTCAGCCTGACGGTGTGTGCAGTGTATAACTTGTGGAAATGGCTGGCTTTTGCACACGGCCTCTGTGGCAGTTTCCCAGGGGGCTTTCTTTCTAATACGTGCAATAACTTCATTGTTAAGCTTCATTTCCCAACAGGCCTCTTGTTGCGAGGCAGCTGTGTGCATCATTTGAAGTGGCCCTCGTGCCCCTCCGGCCCAGCCGTGTACCACGGTAATCACATGCTTGCTCCTAAGGTGCCGCTTGGAACCAAGGTTTACGAGCACATTCTGGCTCCGAGCCCCCGGCGGCTGCCTGCCACGGCGCCCGCGAAGCTTCAGCACCGAACCGTTTGCTCCGCAAATGGCTGCAGCATCGTCTCGCAAATAAGAACGACGCACTTCCGTGGTTCGTTCCAATGCACGTTGGCTGCTGTGGTGGAGAGGTTAAAATGCATTCTGGATGATTAAGCCTGGAGTCTCAGCGGTTTGCAGTGTGAAGCTAACACAGAAGTATGCATTAATTCTTTTTTCAGACTTCCTAGAAGGAAGCGTGAGCAGGAGCCCGTGATTGCGACTCTCCCAAGGTCTCCCTTACCGATACAAATTAGGAATAGCATTGCAGGCTTGGAAA